ATTTAGAAAAGTCCCAAGTAATGGCGCCTAAGGAACGAAGCCAAGCAGCCTCCAGGACAATATCACATCCACTCACCGATAATAAGAAAAAAAATTAGATTTAAAGCAATAACCTTGCAAATTTAGGCCAACTCCATTACACTTACCATGACTAAGAAGAATTCCTTCGTTGGCAATGGTCACACGAATTAGAGTAGTGTTGTGCACAAGATAACCACAACATCAAGCTAGAGAAGGATGTAGAAAATTATTGATTGATCCAGAGTTGACCAACACTGTAATAGGTTGTTTCTTTAAATAGCCAATAATTCACATAGTTTCAGGCTGATTGGTACAAGAAATTGCATGAATAGAAATCTCTAGTCCAGAAGAGTCTTCCTCATTTTCCTTTTGGTTGTATTCTGATGCATCATCTCCTTCCATGAACAACAGTTGAGGACGTTTGTAGCGATGGCCAGGCTTGAAAAGTTCGTCATAATTGAAGCATAGCCCTTTTTCTCACCTTTCTTTTTGTTCAAAAATAATGAGACGTTTGATGGGTGGTAAGCTTGGGGATGTTGTGTAAGGAGAAGTTGAAGAAGTATTTTGTACCTGGTTTCGATTAGGTCATGATTTCTATTGCGTTTTCCTGATGAAGTAGTCTTGTAAAGCCCAAACAAACTCCTCCTTTCAAATAGCCAAATCTAAGGCCTTTGACAAAGCCGAAGGACGCAAAATACAGATCCCAACCTTGATGTCTTCACGTAGTCCCGAAATGAAACAACTAATCAAATAGGATTCAAGTAAATCATTTACCCGATTTGCTAAAATTTCAAACTTTGTTTGGTAGTCTCGCACAGAACTAGTCTGCTGAAGCTTAGACAAAGAAGCTGCAGGGTCCATATCTTATTGTGAACCAAAATGTAAACATAGAGCCTTAGTGAATTGTGTCCAAGACATGACACCAATTAAATGAACCATCCAGTGATACCACGACGTAGCCACTCAAGTTAGGTGAATGGAAGCCAATGGCACCATTTGTGCATCGGTGAGTCCATGAAGGTGTTGATATTGCTCAACTTGAAAAATACAACCCTCCGGATCTTCGCCATCAAATCTTGAAAAATCAATACAAATCAGCCGCCCTTGTAAAACCAACCTATCTTGTAAATTCACTAGTTGCTCATCCGCCATTTGCAATGTAGCAGGAGTAAGAGGGGCTTGTCGGTCTACCTGGGGGGCCATCACCAATTGGTCTTAGGATGCCTGAATCACGTGAATGGCTTCTTTGATTTCCTTAACTCCACCCGCAAGTTGATCCTTTCGTGATTTCAGTTGCTCAACACGTTCAATCAATTCTTTCACAGTAACCATGATAATACCAGGAAAAGAACTTCTCTGATAGTAGATAGTAGGATCCAAGGATCCTAAGAGAAATTGATTCACTTCAAGGAGAATCGTCCTCAAAGTTCCATTAAAATTCTTTTTGCCAAAAAAATGATGTTCAGGATGATATAAATAGAATAGACCTCTTAACTAGGCTTCTACTAACTAGACTCCTTGCCAATTACAACAGTTGGCTTAATAATCTCTTAATTTAACCCAAAATTCATAATTTCTATCCATACAATTAATTTAGGATAAAAATCCCAAAACTAATAAAATAATAAAAATCTAAAAAATAATCATATGCATAGAAGTGCAGGTGACAGCGCATACGTATGATGTGCCTTACAGGTTATGCTCTCGGCCCTCTGCCACGAACGATTCACTGCCACTCTATACCATTCGGCTCCATCCCTTGAAACCAAACTCAGATGGCCCTCCCTTCCTCATGCAACAATGTTGCTTGTGTTGTTTTGGGTTTGTTGGTCTAAGGTGATAACAGTGTTGCCAATTGGGGGTTTTGGTTTAACAGTAGGTGGGTTTTGATTTCAGATTCGGGGAGACTGGGAATGGTAGTGGAGCGCAGGTGATTAGGGAGTGGGGATGGGGCTGGTTGTGATGATTGATAGGATTCAAAGAAACAGAGGGTGGGGGGGGAATGGATGAGGGAGGTGGCAGTGGGTCGCGGAGAAAGGAAGGGTTGGTGGAGTTATTTGATTCAAAACTCGGGTATGGGTATTGGCCTAAGATTTGGGTTTGAAATGGGTTTGGTGTGAATATTTAGATATGGGTGGGTTGCTTATATTTTCTTTTTTCCAGGAAAATTTAGTGGTCGGTTCCTTTATATAGATTTGTTTGGACTTAAGTTCACCAAATAAACTTATTTGTTATGAAGTTTATTTTTTGTTAATTTTACTAGACTATCTTTCCCTTTAGAAGTGAAGTAAAATTAAATATTAAAAATTCATAAATTTTAAGAGTTTGACTAACATTAAAAAAAAAAAAATTCTCCCATATCGATCTACTAGTCACATTCCGTGCGTGAAAACACGATATAATATAAAATTTGAATGTCCAAAAAATCGATTTCACTGTATTAAATAATATTTTTTCCTTCATTTCTATGATTACATTATTTAAAATTTATTTTTACCTATTATTTTCTTTAAAATATTAAAATTTTCTTAAAATACATAATTTGACAAAATTTTCTCAGTATGTGTATACTATCGTATATATATAATATCAAAAATATAATTATATTAAACTACAAATTAATTAAATTTTAAATGATTGAACTTGTGATAAAAATGGGTGATGTGATGTTTTTGAGAGAAAAAATATGTATGTGATAAAATTCAAATTGCTAAGTGTTTTATTATATAGGTATCAATATATATGTTAGGACTATATATAGTAACATTAAAAATAAAAAAAGAGTAACATTTAAATACAAAAAAAAGTTGTCATTTAAACACAAAAAATAATACTATTTAAACACAAAGAAAAATAGTAATATTTTAAAAAAAAATAGTAACATACTCAACAAAAATAGTAACATACTTAACAAAACAGCAACATGCTCAACCAAAAAAATAATAATATATGGAACATCGAACAAAATTAAAAATAAAAATAGTAGCATTCAAACCCATAATTAGAGGAAGACGCTTTCAATTCTTCAGCATAAAAAAAAATTAACACTGAAAAAGTAATAACATGGTCAATTAGAAAAAAATAATAACATGGTCAACAAAAAACGTAGTAACATGAAAACATTGAAAAAATTTGGAGATTATTTATCAAAAAAATAAAAATAAAATTGAGGATCAAACTAATAACATATTGAGCAAGTTTTTAAACCTTTTTTTCTCGAAATCCAAAGACATAGAAGTTCATAATGACTAGAAAACAGTATAAGATATGGTAGTTGTTGATGATGTTTCAAATCCTACTGATTTTGATGCTATGGAGAAAGAAATGATATCTAAGGAGAAAAATTTGTTGTATTTGAGTGATGATCTTCTTCTAATGCAAGAGAGAGAGCTAATATAAATTTAAATTTAAGAGTGAATTAAAGGATAATAATTTCTAATTTAAGAAATTAATTTAAAGCTACTTTCAATATCTTTAAGAATTTATAATTGAACAAAATAATACTACTAAAGATATTTTTAGAATTTAAAGAAATTTTGGATTTAGATACTTATTAATAAGATAAAAAATGAACTTAACACTAACTAAATTTCTTCGACAAACTCAAGTCATTATAAGTTTATCCAAGAGAATTCAATTCTAATTTTCACTTTTTTTAAAGGGTAAAATGGTCTTTTAAAACTTCTGTTAAGTTTGATATGACACACTAACTTATAACTAGGGATGACAGTAGACCGAAGAAAAACGAATATTCATCTAAAACGGTCTGATTTGAACCGAAGATAGATCGTATACATTAGACGATAAACATATACGAAATTATCCGTATAAATCCATCCAAAAATAAATACGAAAATAGATTTACTCTTACCCCTTCCCAGCCCACGGCCCGCCCCTCCCCTCCCTATATCCCCGTTTTATACATAAAATTAAATATATGTTCAACCCTAACTTACTTCTTCAGTCCTTTCCAATATCAGCCTAAACAAGTACGTCGCCCCCACCTCCACTCATTCCGGTCCAAGCCCTCCACTGAAGAACGAATGAAGTGCATGTCTCTCTACTCTCCTATGCAGGTAACGCAACTGCGGTCAACAACACTCTCTCTCTCTTTCAATCATCTTCTCTCCATCGTCTCTCTTCACTTTCCACTGCCAGCTGAGCAGTAAGTCTCTCTCTGTCCACTATCCGCGGACTAGGTAAGTTGCAGAGCTTCCATATGCTTTGTGTGTTTGTGTTTTTTGTGCATTTTTGTGGGTGTCTCCATGGCTGATTTTTGTGCATTTTTGCATATTCATGGCTGATTTTTGTGGGTCTCTCCATGGCTTNGTTTGTGTTTTTTGTGCATTTTTGTAGGTGTCTCCATGGCTGATTTTTGTGCATTTTTGCATATTCATGGCTGATTTTTGTGGGTCTCTCCATGGCTTTTTGTGCATTTTTGTGGGTCTCTCCTGGGTAGGCTGCAAAATCAGTTTGTGCATGTGTAGAGGGAGGCTAACTTCATGGTTGTCGTTGGTTTACAGGTATGAAGATCATGCCTTGTCATTGGTTTGTTGAATTTGTGATGTGGGTTACTAATATTATTTAGAATGTATGAAGAAATTGTTATCAGTTTTCGGGATCCAATGGTGAATGACAGAGTTATATGCATTGCCAGTGTATTGAACAAGTCTTTGATTTCGAAATTATGGTATGCTATATTATGTTTGTGGTAGATTATGTTTGATTATTTAGAATTATGGTGGATTATTTAAAATATTAAATTTATTTAAAATTTTTGATTATGTTGGCTTGAGCTTGAATTTGAGGACGGAGGTCGGGGGTGAATGCGGGGATGAGGTGGCGATTATAAATTTACTCGCAGACGAAAACGTGGATGAAAATTATATCCGTTNTACAATAACCAAATTAAGTCACATTTTTTAAGTGTAAATGGCTTTACTCATCATTAAAAATCATTCTCAAACCATACATCTGAATCAAAGTGTAATTACAAATCCAGTGGCTGAAAGAGACAAGTCAATATCATCCACTAACGCATAATACTTTCCATTACATTGGAATTCTTTATAGCTTAGCAACACACTACCAAACACAAACATAACATTAATGCCACAGAAGAGTTTCCCATCACAATGATATGGGATTTCAGCCATTCGGACAAAGCAAACCTACCAAAACAAAAAACCTTCAAATATTGCAGACTACAACCAACAAATTAAAAGCAAGATGCAGAGAAAACCTAATCCGCATTGATCGCAATTCTGTTCATGACCTTAGCAACAACTTCCTTAGAGTCCTTCAGCAACTTGATACTTTTGTTCAATCTCTCACGCTTTATGGTCACCGACGGCGATTCTTCTAGCAACCTTTCAAGTCCACCACCATGAGGACCCATGAGTTCATTCACTACCTCCATCTCCATGTCCTTGTTCACCAGATTCTTGATACTGAACTGCAGGTTCAGAGCCATGAAATCAACGAGTCTTTTCAGAACAATGTTCCAGTATGCTGTAATTCTCATTTTTATGTCAAATGCTAGGTCTCTAATAATAGGGAAGGACTTTAAATGCCCAACTTCAACTTCCCCAAAACCATCAATGATGATCCGTGTGGACCTCGAATAATTATTCATAACATAAAGGAACTGGTCTTTACCATCCATGAGCTTACCCCATAATGTCAGATATTCAGGATCGCAAGAATAACCTGTGGNAAGGACTTTAAATGCCCAACTTCAACTTCCCCAAAACCATCAATGATGATCCGTGTGGCCCTCGTATAATTATTCATAACATGAAGGAACTGGTCTTTACCATCCATGAGCTTACCCCATAATGTCAGATATTCAGGATCGCAAGAATAACCTGTGGTCTTCTCCATCTCAATTATCTCCACCACTCGATCAGCTGACATATCCTTCCTCTTGGCAATAAGGTTCTGGGCTGCTCTTATTGTAGATGACTCTAGCTGTGGATAATGTTTNATCCAACAGTTACAATTAACCACATTATTAGATCCATAAATTAGGTTAGATCGTTAGATCCCAAGAGTAAGTTAGGTCTTAATTATATTACTCGCTCCAATAATGTTAAAATTCACAATTAAATCAAGTACAATAACCAAATTAAGTCACATTTTTTAAGTGTAAATGGCTTTACTCATCATTAAAAATCATTCTCAAACCATACATCTGAATCAAAGTGTAATTACAAATCCAGTGGCTGAAAGAGACAAGTCAATATCATCCACTAACGCATAATACTTTCCATTACATTGGAATTCTTTATAGCTTAGCAACACACTACCAAACACAAACATAACATTAATGCCACAGAAGAGTTTCCCATCACAATGATATGGGATTTCAGCCATTCGGACAAAGCAAACCTACCAAAACAAAAAACCTTCAAATATTGCAGACAACAACAAACAAATTAAAAGCAAGATGCAGAGAAAACCTAATCCGCATTGATCGCAATTCTGTTCATGACCTTAGCAACAACTTCCTTAGAGTCCTTCAGCAACTTGATACTTTTGTTCAATCTCTCACGCTTTATGGTCACCGACGGCGATTCTTCTAGCAACCTTTCAAGTCCACCACCATGAGGACCCATGAGTTCATTCACTACCTCCATCTCCATGTCCTTGTTCACCAGATTCTTGATACTGAACTGCAGGTTCAGAGCCATGAAATCAACGAGTCTTTTCAGAACAATGTTCCAGTATGCTGTAATTCTCATTTTTATGTCAAATGCTAGGTCTCTAATAATAGGGAAGGACTTTAAATGCCCAACTTCAACTTCCCCAAAACCATCAATGATGATCCGTGTGGACCTCGAATAATTATTCATAACATAAAGGAACTGGTCTTTACCATCCATGAGCTTACCCCATAATGTCAGATATTCAGGATCGCAAGAATAACCTGTGGTCTTCTCCATCTCAATTATCTCCACCACTCGATCAGCTGACATATCCTTCCTCTTGGCAATAAGGTTCTGGGCTGCTCTTATTGTAGATGACTCTAGCTGTGGATAATGTTTAGAGTGACGCTTTAAAACAGCAACCACCACTGTCTCAATGTACTCCCATACTTTAGAGACAAACTCAACCGGTACTCCTTGTACCTTATTTACTTTTTTCTGCAGGATCATGAGAAAAGCCGTGCGAGGAAGGAAATTTGGTAGCTCAATGACTTTGGTTTCCTCAAGAACTCGTATCTCCTGCATTAGAAAATTGTCCTTGCAGTTGTCTTCTGAACTCTCTTGTAGTTCCTGAGCGCACTGGTTGAGCATTTCTACAAGACGAGCAGTGCAATGCATCTGTTTGTCATCTGGGTATTCCTCGAACTCACCTCTCAAGAGAACATTCCTAAGAGATTCCATGGAGGAACCAATAATCTGCACCAAAGCAAACATTGCTTCTGGAACAGAAGTCAGATTCTGGGGCATTCTGTTGAGTTCTGAAATGTTTGCACGCAGCTTGTCATTGATCTTTCTAACAATTTCTGGCAAGCATTTTGCAATTATCTCAGCTTGAATTTGCGCCAACTTTTGGGCCAGAACTGGAATACCCACCATAGATTTATCAATCTTTGAGAGAAGCGGGTGGGTTTCGAATAAATTAGCTTCTTCCTTTCGAGCTTCATCATATGATTCATCGCCTATGCGATTCCTAACGCACACATAGCCAAGCCCGATATTCACATCATCTGCCATTACTTTATCTAGCAGACCTTCGGGAGCTATGTCGACTTTGGTAACAACAGCCAGAGTTCTCTCGCCGGTCTTGTCCACACGCTGTGACATCCTAATGGATTCACAAGTCGGAAAATCAACAGTTGCAGACAAAACATTCAAGATAATGCTCTCCTCTGGTTTTATGTACTCTCTGATTATGGCTGATATCTGCTCATATATATCTTCAGGCTGCCCATGAACAGGCACCCTAGTGATTCCTGGCAAATCAACCATTGTAAGATCAGGTACGCCATTTTTCTTCACAACTAACGTTAATGGGATGTGTGATATGCCTTTACCAGAGCCAGCAATCTCATCAGTTGCTTGATTTATGGCATCACAAATATGGATTTCATCGGTCTGGACAGTTTTGCCCAGAAACTCCAAGTGAAGCTCCGGGAGAGGAACTGAGTGATGCTGAAGTCTCATTATGAGTGGCACCCTAGTGCAAATGCCTTGGCCTCGTGGAAGGCTGATGCCAGCAAGTGATTCAAGAACACTAGACTTCCCAGACGATTGGTCACCAACCACCACAATTGTTGGGAGCTGTATACCTTCCTGCATGACGTTAAGGTGGCGGAGCTTGTCAATTGCATCAAGCAGTGGGCGTATTCGATCATTGTAAGACAACACGATCGGTGCCTCAACTGGAATAGCCAGTTTTTCATCACCAATGATGGCTATGGGTTGTTCAAGTATAGGAGCAAGAGCAGAAGAGCAGCTTGTTTCAGGGATGTTGGAGTTCTGCCCAGCCATTTTGTTTAAGGTAGTAACCAGTAAGGTTGTTTTTTCTACAAGGATTTGTGTGAAATGGTGGAGTGTAGTTGTGGGTTTAAATAGGAGTACGAAAGTTTTGAGGAAGGAGGTGTTGGGAAGTGGGATTCTGTTAGGTGTTGTTTGATACGTGGGTTTGGAGAGTTTGATAACATGGGGGTCGGAGAGTAAACTCTTTAAGGCTCATGTTTGACGACCATAAAATATGGATAGGATTTTAAACTCTGTCCGGTTGGTCATGGCTTATTCATGAAATTCATGGGAGTGGGTTTCATTTGTGAGTTTGGGGAGGTTTAACATGTAAATAATATTTATATTCTTATTTATTCTATATATTTCATGTATATAAATTAATTAAGTGACACAATAATTATTTATATACAAATATATTATCATAATAATCTACGCATATTAAACATAGATAGTTAAATTTGGGTTTGAATAATTTAATCCAATTCTCTTCTACCAAACATGCCCTTATAGGATATGGAAAGAAATTTTGCGGTCCAAGATGACATGACTTTACTTTCCACAAAAATAGATTACATGACATGCTTTGGGGGGACCTACCTAGAATCCTAGTCATTTGTCCTATGTGTTTTCAGAACACTGATTCAGAACCTCTTTCGTCATCTGTACTTTTTATCATGACGGTCGGTATTCATCATCAATCAAAAAATATTATCTTAATGTAGGCTGTTTTTGAATTTTTTTCTCTCTATTGGTGATATCCGCTGATTGATGATAAATATCAGCTATCATTAACAGCGTGATAAACTGAATATTTTTTCTTTCGGAATCTGTTTTGTCATCTGTACTTTTTATTCTGCCATCAAAAAGGAAAAAAAAGTTAAAGCCACAACCAAGAAAAAAATCTTATGGTGTGGCTCTCTGCATTTATTAAAGTGAAGTCATCCCAAACACGAAAAAATATGAAGCTTAACTGTTACCCTACCTTACTTAATAGATTCGTCCTATTATATTCGGTTTGGTTTGATAAAAAAATAGAAGAAGAAAAAGTAAAAAGATGTAAAACAAGAGGAATAAATAAAAATATTATGTATATGTCTATGTCCCGTAAAAAAAGAAAATAAGAAGAATGAAAAAGTGGATGAATTAATTTTCTTTTTAACTCATTAAAATCAATTCTTTTAAAATCGAAAGAAAAATGAATAGAAAGTTAATTATTTGTGTTGAAATATATTTTTTTTGTTTATATATTTTTTGACATATACATATATTATATATATATTAATTTTATATAAAAATACAATGATAAAATATGTATATATACATATATTTTTAAAAAATTTAAAAATAAATTTAACAATAAAAAATAAAAATAAAATTTAAATTAAAAAATATTTTTTCTATTTTAGTTGGGGGTGAAAATTTTTGACTCAACACGATAACATGACTCGAATTCGATACGAATTTTATGATATAAATTTGAAAATGACCTGACATGTCAACAAGATATATAAAAAACTGATATTCAGTTCAACCTGTCAAACTTAAAATTAACACCATCAACCCATTTATTTAAAAATAAACACTTTCTCTATTTTCTCGTTTGTATGGTAATACGAAATTAACATGTTTAACTAATATTATATACATGATATGTTAATTATTTGTACTATTTATTAACCACTGACATAATTATTATATAAAAAAGATGTTTTTACTTATTATTATTATTATATTTATTTAAGTTAATTTTTACTTTATACAAAAAATATTAATATGGATTCAATTAAGTGAAAATAAAATATTATCGTTAAATTTTTTATTCAAAATTTATGTGGGTCAACACGAGTACGTACACGAACACGACACGAGACAATTAGTTAAATGAGTTGAGTTACATTTGATTAATATTCGACATAAATCCGTAATGATTCAACATGAATTTGACACAACACGACTCTATTGTCACCTCTAATTTTAGCCAATACAAACAAAAAAAAAATTAGTCATTTTTATTTTTCATCAATCCTACCAAACACAAATAAAAGAAAGTATATTATTCCTACTTTCTTTCCTCGAATGATAAAAAATGTATCATTCTGATTTTTTACCCTTTCTGATTTTTTATCTTTTTTACCAAACGAAGCATTAAAATTTATAATCAATCATTTATATAATATATAACCACTTTCATAATAAAAAATAAGCCTTATTTTTATTATTTTTTTATTAAATAATTGCACCAATATTTACCACTACGATGTTGTTTCGAGCTACAATTTTTATTAAAATAATGTGTTTGCGTACTCCCCAAGAGTAACATTATTAGAATATAAAAAAATTATTTAATTTATTAATTTCATAATGTAATAGTGATCTGATACAATAATAAAAAAATTAATTTTTTTGATTTTTTGAATGAGAGTTTATTGTTTTAAACATAGTTATATCAGTAGAGAAATTTTACAATACCGCCTTTTTTTTTATCAGTATTGTTTGTACTGTTTTTTATAATAAAATTATATTTTTTAAATGAGAATTTATTATTGTTGAAAAAAAGATTATGATCGATTACAAACATCAATAATCGATAATAAAATTTTAATTTTAATGTTTACTTTTTATAATTAATCGTGTCTTTTACAATTATACCTTATATATTAAAAACAATTATAATTTTTAATACGATACGTATAACTTTTTCCAAATTTTTTATATCTCAATTCCATTTACTTTTTTTTCAAAGGCTAATTATGGTGATAGGGTTGTTGGCACTTTTAATCGGGACTCATGTTACTTGTAGATTCCTTAATGCTTTATTGACTCGGGTCAATACTCGGCACGGGGAGGGTGGGTCCCTTATTCAATTCACACTCTCTTTTTTTTTCTTTCTGTTTTTGTGGTCATAAAAGTCGTCAATAATAATAATAAAAAAAAAAAGTGTACTACAAGGTTTGAAAAAGTGTTTCCTTAAGGGAAAAAAAATTGTTATCTTATACCCCTAGAACTAACCCTTGTCTAAAGGCATTTTGCCACTAAAATAATTCATCAATTTGAAATAAATTTGATTTTATTTGCTTTAATTAAAGAAATTGAATCAATCAAGTTTTGACTATTTTTTTCAAAAAATTTCCTATAGAAGTAGAAACTTAAAAAAATTTTAACCTATGTACAGAGCTTATATATTAATATATATATTAATGTCCAACAGAAACTATTGCATAATCAATCTCAAGAAAAATTTACTCAATGAACCAAACAAATCGAAGAAAAAAATTCACAGCTCACTACATAATCCAAACCAATCAAAGAACCAAAATTCATAGTTCACAATTATAAATAAAAAATATCACAATTCAAACAAAACATATAATCATCAAAATCATATATAATAATCATCACAATTCAACTCTATTTTCCACAAAATCACCGTTCCAAATAACCCAATTTTATACTTAAATGGAATTCATGAAGCCACCAAGCATATCCCCAAAATAAAGCATAGCAATCATAGAAAGCACTTGGCATCCAAGAGGGTTCTCTTTCATAGTTGTTGTCGGTAGATAAATATCGGCACCTCACTTGTAGAAAACACACCCCTACTATTGCCCCAACCTGTAACCCCGGCTTCCGGGCACCCAATCCACGTCAATCGGTTGCGGGGTTCATTATAAACATTTCTAATAAGATCAAACTGAAATTAAAAGACTACACAGTTAACATAAAGCAAAGATTGAAAAACAAAATCATTGTGCATTGCGGAAATTAAACGAAAACACTACTTATTTTAAAACTATGTACTAATTCAAGTTTAAAGCAAAAAAAGTGGCGTACCAAAAAAAATATTCACATATTAAATAACTAAATGAAATCTCATAAATTTGAATATGTTTTAACAACCAATCTAGTGTAATTATCTTCAAAGCATTAATACAATGTGCTTCGTCTCTAATTTGCTTAGTTGGAAATCAATAAAACACAGGTCAAAATAAATAACAAAACAATAGCAAGGTTACTGCTAGATATCACTCAAGTAAACCAACAATAAGTATCCAAAACCATATTGGTGCCATCAAAAAGAAGTTCGACATTGAATTAATTTATCAATCAAGCAAAAACAATACTGTAAGTAAGAGAAAGAAAAAATTTGTATGTTAAAGAAGCAAATAAAACTTCAAAACTCTCTGTAGCACCCAAAAAATTATCTAAAGTCTAAACTCAATTACACGCATAAACTTCTTTCACATGTCAATAACAAATGTTAAATCAGGTACCTTAAAGGCATAACAAAAAATTCCTCAAAATAGATGATTTATAAATAAACCAACTAAAAAAAATACATAACCTTGCGAGCAATGAGAAGAGCTTTCAACAAAAGTAGTGGGGCAAGCAGCTTCACTCTCTACACAATTTGTGGTATCCAATTTCGTGTAGCTACAAAATTGAACAATCCCAAATAATTAAACAACCCCAAAAAAAAGTAATAAAAACAAAATAAATGCAAACTAAAATCCAATTGAGTTGATATAAACTTCAAATTCAATTGTGAGTTTTAAGGAAACCAAGCAATGTAATATCAAATAAAATCAAATAAGAACTCACAATCCCCAATTCAAGATTTCAATCAAGTAATCAAACCTAAAATTCAAGTCAAATCAAACCATAGCAAAATCAAACCCAAAGTAAGCACAACCTTATTTGAAAACTGAACCTAAATTTTCATGAAATCAAACCTACTTAGAAAGTTCACATCAACTCGAATCTAAACTAATCATAAAATGAACTTAAACAAATAATAGAACCAAAAGTCATGCTAAACCAACTGGCATCAAATTAAAAACAGAGTTGTGTTATTGAATTAGAAAGCTATACACCTATCAATTAGAATCCAAAACCCATACACCTATGTAACTGTTGGTCCATTCATTACCACCTCAAAATAGACCAAAAAATAGCAGTGATAGAACCCCCAAAACAACAATATTTCATGTGTAGTAGAAGCCAATAAAAAG